TTTTTTATTTACTATATAAAAATCTAATATACCACATAGATCATATGAAAAATGATCTACGTACACCCTACCCTTAAGCCCGAAATATTATCGTTTCTAAATTTTTTTTAGTTATTATTAAAAAATCCATAGTAATATATATATAGTACCATTCAGTTAATAGTTTATTATTACAAGTTGAGTTCACCTTCAACACTTTATGAGTCATTTATCATTTATCATGCAATACACTATTTTCAATTTTGTGATTGTAATCACATGAAATTGAGGATTAGCGTCTAGTTTATAGTTAAATATTTGCTGCTTATATTGTAAAATCGTTCAAGGAAACTTTTTGTTAGATGATTTATAATTGTTGTTTACATTACACTAAGTCGTGATTCGTTATTGGCTAATTGGCTGTCAATCATTACGTGGAAGTATATATGCACTTATAATTATGCTAATGATTAGTTTTAAAATGCTTACAGTACTTAACAAATTGCTTCTTAATAGAAGCAGAGACTGCTGCATCATTTGAAATTTATAAGAAAACAAACATTTTTTGTTGTGAAAGTTAAAGGTACTGATGAAATTATCGATGGATAAGTTAGTATAAATCAAAATATGAGTAAATAAATTGTGATAAAAGCTTTATTTTTCTATTGGAAAATAGCACAGTTGGTGTTTCTAGACAAAACATGTAGGTTTCATCACCGACGAAAGTCAAAGGTTTCGACTTTCATCGAAAGACTTTTAAAAAATCGAAACTACGAAAAGTGATAAAACTAATGAAAGGTGACAAAATTGATAAATGGTGATGAAACCAACAAACCGATAAAATTAGTAAAGATAAAACTAATAAAATTTTTAAATTAATAAATTAATACTTAATAGCTTTAATAGTGTAATAAAAAAACTTTGCCAGTTTTTATGAAGTATCTATATCACAAATTCTCCCAAAATTTAATAATATAGTAAACAATTAGAAATATATTTATAGCTAAGCTTGCTTTCAAATTTTTTGGTGATGATGAAAAACAGTAAGTATCATTATAACATCTATATGACGTATAACTAGGTTTAGGATCATCCAATGTACTGTCATTAAAATAATATCTTATATTCTCAAAATAGACATTACAAATACATTTGCTATAAAAGCTACAATTTTTAGGATGACGAGATATGCCACCTTCAAAAGGAAACCCTGTACTCCATGCTAACTGTGAATAACTTCGAGTATAAGGAAGATCCATAGAACTCCTACTATCTTTATATGGATGCGGATCGTCATCAGATATCTTTGTTATCATATAAGATTCCTCTCCTGTCATCCAAATGTTACAATTTCCTTCAGGAGCTGCTATAATTTTTACTGCCCATGTACCACTAAGATTAGCATAAGGATGAGGACCAGTTACCGCCAATCCATATCTTATACATCCTCCATTTTTGCCATTATAATTAGACCACTGTCCAAATACTATTGTTGAATAAACACTATTAACAGGAATGGAACTGTTTAGCAAACTCAAATCAGATTTATTAACCCAAGATCTTATCAGTTTGTCATTTCCTACCCATTCTTTCGGAAAATATCTTACAAGATTAAATGCCATAGACATTCTTCCAACAGTACAATTAGTATAAGTAAGATTTCCAACAGACTGACCTTTCCAAACACCTATATTTGGATTAACACTTATATTTGGAATATCCACTGTCATGTCTGTTATAATGAATTTATAACAAGTTTGTGATAGTAAAAATTTTCTTGTATTCTAAAAAGAGTGTTTCTATTTGTACACTATGCGTACGTATATGGGTATGTTGATATTTCAAAATCTCGATTATAAAACAGCCTTTGGGTTTTTAACAAAAAATTTTTCTCGAGAAATTTTAACCTTATTAATCTCAAAGTTAACCGTACCCTAACTTTAAACTGGGTTAATTTTTGTTTGATAATTTATATGTTACACAAGTTTGTATCAATTAATTAGTACTCTTGTACAGACACTACGTGTAAACTAATAAATTTTGTTTGAAAATTCGTGGCTTTAAATAAAATGCTGTTTTTATGAAAATTTCTATTTATATACCACATGTATGCAAACAAGTACTTCAAGTATTTTTATTCAATTAAAATACTTGCAAAATCTTAGTACAAACTATTTCTAAACCCCAAAGCTAGCCTTTAACCTTTAAGAGCTATTATAATTTGTATTAAAATTTAATTTGTTTATAAAAACAAATATGCAACATATTAATTAATGCCCATGTATATGCGCACATACTTGTATTTGTAACAGGCAACGTGTGTCAATTGTTACTCAGTAATATTTAGATTTAGGATTTACATTACAACCTGTTTTATGAATGTATTAAATAATTGGATCCGTCTTGTTTCACCTACACTCATTTCGTCTTCACTGACATGTTTATTTTAACGAGGGCGCAGTCACATGATCTTCCGACCTTACGATTCTCCGGAAAATTGCTTTCAAAATAATACTAATCCTTTATTATCGTTATTATTACCACTCGATACGTCACATGTAATTTTTAACATATAAGTCAAATAATCGACATGCCTAAATTCATTAACCCACTACGTACAATCTTTTTTCATCAAATCATTTCCGTATGTGGTTTGTGTAAATTTGTTGATTGGTTTAACCATTTGCTCATGATCTATCACCTTTCCTTTTTTAGCTAAAACGGATAAGATCATCGTAAAAAAAAAATTTATATGTTCTATAGCCCATTGGGGTGTTCTATATCGGTCTACTTACAAACATAGTGCAGATCACATAATAATAATCACTAATCAATGATTTTTTATAGATCAACGATAGTGTAATAGTAAAAACATACAAAAATTAAACTGAAATAACTCTTAAACCAGCAAACCCATACAAATAAATTTACATTTTTCAGGTTAATTTTAGCATGCTCTTTAAAGCAACAACGCCTTTTTTAAAATTTATTTTATTGTTTGGAGCATAGCGGAGGGCTCAATTTCAATGCAAAATTGTCGTTTTTGATGTTTTTAATAAAAACATCAAGCCCGTAACTTTGATTTTTTTGTATTGTATTATGCAATGGTGATCGACAAAAAATTCAAAGTTACGGGTTTGATGTTTTTATTAAAAAAAAAAACATCAAAAACGACAATTTTGCATTGAAATTGAGTCCTCTGCTATGCTCCAAACAATAAAATAAATTTTCAAAAAAGGCGTTGTTACTTTAAAGAGTATGCTAAAATGAACCTGATAAATGTAAGTTTATATGTATGGTTTCTGGTTCAAGAGTTATTGCAGTTTGATTTTTGTATGTTTTCACTATCGTTGATCTATAAAAAATCATTGATTAGTGATCATTATTATGTGATCTGCACTATGTTTGTAATTAGAGCGACGTAGAACACCCCAATAGCCCATACGTATATCTATTTATGCTGACTGCTTGGCTCTATTCAGGCTAATCAGATCTGCATTGCGCTGCCCCCTATTTTTTTTTTTACTTTATGTCACGTGTTTAATTTCATTTACCTTTTTAACTAGATAGCTGCGCGACGCCATCGCGCAAAACCAGGAACGGAACTTAACTAACTACTCGAGATTTGCTTAAATGCAGGAAAATAATTTTCCTTTTAAAAATTTAGATTGTATATAAATATTAAGTTACAAATATAAGCAACCGTAATTTTACACATTTTTCGAGTCGAAAATGAAGAGTTTGCTTATATTCAGAAATCATTTTACTAGTAGACATAACCTTTGCCAAATTTTAAGTTTCAAAATCTGGAGGTTGTTTTTATTCATGGTTGCTAACCCACCTAGTATCGCCACCAAAATCACGTACGTAATTGCTTCTTATATTTCAATCTGAGTTCAACATAAAGCAGAATTACGAGGTTTACATAACAAGATTTTCGAAAAAATAATTGTAATTTTATTTATTCAAATTGTTTATTCAAATTATTTATTTTAATTATTTATTAAATTATTTTATTCAAATTTTTTTTTATTCAAATTATTTATTCAAATTGTTCATTCAAGAATTTATTTATGGCTATAAATTTAAAATCGTTATTCAAATTTGAATATTTAAAATGTATTGCATCTAAATTCAAATTTTTTTTTTAATACACGTATAAAGCTTTAAGCCTAAATTAATACTACCAGTAAAAGGTGTTCTTATTGTCCACTCTAAGTTTTCGGAAGCTTTTTTGCTTGCTTGAAATATTTAATATCGTCAACCATATTTTGAATAAGTGAAAGTTCGATTCAATACTTCGAAGTAGAGATGGGCATTCTGCATTATGTGCATTACATTATGCAAAACATAATGTCACATAATGTAATGTAGACATTTTAAAATTTAAAAGTGCACATAGAAATTACTA